AAGGAGGCTTGAGAGAACTTCGGCACGCATTTGTTAACATGCGGTTGTCCGCAAAGGGGCCTCCAAGGACATTTTGAACAGAGTCAGTGCGAGACTTGAATTAGTGACGTGCATTTGAAGGCATATCATAAAGGCATTTTCCATAGAAATATGTCAAAGCAAAAATGATTTTTACACAGTGGACATAAAAAGTCTGCACACCCCCTTTTTGCGTCCCATGGTTGTGTGAAATTAGTTGTGTAACATTTTTAAAACTTTCTCCACTCGTCTGACTTAGAACTTTTTTTTTTTGTAAGAGGTACAAATAAACAACTCGGATAATGTGGTTGCACAAGTGTGCACACCCCTTTGAACCGGGGTTATTTTCACATTGGATTTGCTACGGTGCAAGTTTTACTCTTCGGTGCCGTCCGGTGGTTTTTTTATTTTGAATCGATGAAGATTGTAATTGAGTCATTTGAAAACCAAAGCCAATCAGAAACTGACTCCCGTTACTCTCGTTTGACGCCGGGACACACGCCTCCCGTAGCCATCCACATGGATTTCATAACTCTTGTGTATACTTTCAGCTTATTACATGCAATTAGAAACTCCTCGGGCGGGACGTTTATGACTTGTGACAGCGCAATTGGAGCAAAGCTAAACATTCGTTCAAAGCTCACATTGGGTTTATTTGGCCGCATTACGGGCCTACAATCGCCTTGTGAATTCCTGCCAGTTGAGTCTTTAGTCATTCGAGTTGGAGGGGGTGGGGGGCCCAACGCAGACCCACTCCCGGGGGGCCCTCCACTTTCATGTACTCCAAAGGTTTTGAAAATGAATATTTATCATCAACTAAAAAGTGTACATTTAAAAATAAAAATCTATTTCCTGAAACCGGAAAAGACTGAGCCGTATTTCATCAAGGCTGGGAGATGATGTGCAAAGAGCCTCTTGGCTGTGTTTGTCGAATGCTAAGTCCACCCCTTGACTATCGAGGGTGCGGGGGTGGTGGGGGGGTCCTTGTCATAAAAGGCCATCATAAAAATGTCCGACCTCGTTTGTTTTTCCGCGATGTGATCTTTCCCATGATTTTGCTTTTTTGTATGCCGTGGCTGCAGGGATCAAATCTAAAGCACATAAAAGTACGTGTTTCATTATAGATGTTGGGGATCATCGTAGCCAGACATCTCATTTGCGTGCTTCACTTTGAAGCGGGAAGCATCGATCTGAAAAATGTTTCGTACCACTTTGCACGCGGGCCTCCTCTTGCCAGTTGGCCTGCAATGTAAACAGGTGTGTGATCCACTTTGGAATGTCAAGAGGCATTCAGGCCAAGCTTTTGAATTTCTTTGGATTTGTTTTCCTTGTGCTCCTTTGTTTTATCATCATCGTGGCAAAGTTCAGCATAAGAGTTGCTACCTGTAGCAAGGTTGAGGGTGGAGGGTACTCGGAGGGGGGGTCCCGATTGGGCCCTTGTGGAAGGGCCCGGGACGGCTTTCCACGGTAGCGGAGGGTCCTGTTTACTCAGCTGCGCGGCTCCAGAGGGATGAGAAGATGTGTTTGGGGCCTCATTAATCACGGCCGCTGCGGAAGAGATAAACAGGCCCGACCCAGCAGGGATGCTGCGGCTACCGCCGTTAAGACGGGGTGTAGCGGGGAGGTCACACACGGAAAGGGGGGGGGTGTTTTGTGTGTGTGTGTGTGTGTGTGTGCGTGTGTGTGTGTGTGTGTGTGTGCGTGTGTGTGTGTGTGTGTGTGTGCGTGTGTGTGTGTGTGTGTGTGTGCGTGTGTGTGTGTGTGTGTGTGTGTGAGTTGGGGGTTGGAGGGGGGCTCTGCACCCCAGGGGGATTGACCATAACACTTGCTCTTTGGTTCCACATCTGCATGCCTGTGCAAGCTTGTAAATCTGCATTCCTGCTCTGCAGCGGCTGCAAGTGCATGAACCTAAAACAACCTGTTTTTTTTTTTTTTTGTTTGTTTCAACTCCCTAACAAATGCACCTTAACTCACCAGCTTCAGGCTTGGTTCCAAAAAGCCCTATTAATCTTGCAATGTTGTACCCCAAAAGCCCCACCCACCCAATTACCATTTCATATTTCTATCTTAATTGTCGTACTTGCTCACAGAATCAGCACTGAAAACTTGTGCTGACTTTTCTTTGGCCCGAGCGAGTGGCTGGCCAATCAGTTCGGGAGCACTGACAAATGCAATAAGTCGAAGCCCCCCCGCCCTCCAAATGGGTTTTAAGATATTGTATTACTCTGTTTATGTAAGACTACTTCTTAATTATAGCGCGCGTGTGCGCGCCAGTGTCCTTGTGCGGCGCCTAATTGCTCTTGATAGGCTTGGAAAAGTGACATCATTGCCGCAGTCGGCAGAGGTCATGCTGGGGGTGAGGAGTGAAATGGGAGTGAAACAAGCAAAAAAAAAGTCAGTCAGCAGTCAATCTAAATGCTTCAGACGTGATGGACTGCAACTGAACAGCAAGAAGTTTTTTTCATAATGCTTCAAGTCATTTATTCTAAAAAATATACCCATGTCTCTATTTTTTTTAAAATTTTAGTTCATACTCGATTAATCAATTTGTAAATAATAAAATCAAGAATATTTGTAGAGTTGGCCTGTACGAGGCAATACTTGGTGATGTCGCTCACTTTTTTTCCTCTCCCCCTCTAGATGGCTAAAAAGTTGTCGTAACGGCATTGTATGGATTTTCAAAGGAAACTTCAATTCGTGATTACTACTCTTGAAAAAATATTTATTTTTATGCATTGTTTATTTGTTATATTTGATGTGTAAGTTGGCCATCAAGAGAGGGGCCAAAATGGGGGGAAAAAGACATTTGAGGGGTTGCTCAAAAGCCATTGTGTATTTTAAAATATTTAGGAATGACTTTTTCCCACAACTACAGGTAATTATGCTCACAGGGCAACTCTAATTTATCTGTATTTAATGGGATGCTTTTGTTTAGCGTAAATTAAAAATACCAGTAAAATAGATCGATAGACAGCATGGTCTTTACATCGGGTCACTTATGCCACCTACTGGCCACTTCAGTGTAGTACAATGCATGTCTTCATACGCTGTTCTTTGGGGGGGGGGGGGGGTAGTTTTTTTTACTTTTGTTTTTTTCCCCTTTTAGTACAACAATTGAAAGATATTTTCTCACCAGATTTGGTTTATCCTGCATGTTTGTTCGAATATTCCGTTTTTAATATTCTATAAATAGAATAATAATCCAATCGTTTCTACAAAGGTACTAAAAATGTCATCCAACATTTCCTTGTGTGCAGTACGTGTTCGTTCGCCTCCACGTGTATGTGTGTGTTTTCAGTCTGAAAGTGTCATTTCAAAACCAAACGGTTCATAATTTGGAGAAGATTGCATTTCGGAAAGCAAAGACACAGCAATGGAGGCCTTGTAAGGTGGTTATGCCCCCTTTGTGGGAGTGCATTGGTAATAATAACTTTATTGCAAAAATACAGGTTCACTCTTTTACCCCCCCTTTGACCACACTACTACCCCCCTCAATCTCACACAAACATCAGCTTCTTATGCCTCCTCGTGCACTCTCATCTTTTAGTATACATTCATTCCCTCTTTTACTACCTTTTCTCTACCTTTTTTTTTGTTTTGTTTTGTCTTGTTTTTGCATTCCATTGGTTGAAACTATAGCGTAAATAGATGCAGAACAACAAAGTTCACCAGCAGCATTAAACATGAAATCTCCTCGTGGTGTTGGTGGTGGGTCGGCGGTTGTTGTGTGATGGACCTCTAGGGAGGCTCGACTTGCATAGCGGACTCAAGCGCTACAATTGGGCTACATTCTCCCGCAACCTCAAAATAACCAAAAAAAAAAAAGAGAGAAATGAAAACATCTCTGGGAAATAATGCCAACCTTTGGTTTAGTTACAACGATCTTTTTTTTAAATGTACAGCATGAAGCATTTCATTAACGTAGCTGAATAAAGGGGAGGGGGGGCGCAACTGTACAACTGGTTGATATCTCTCAGCGCATCACTGGCTGAAAATAGACCTCTTAATACAGCGTATAAAGCAACGTGTGTCTCGGCTTATTCAGTATAATAAAGTGTACCGTGGGTTTTTTTTTTAATATATTTTTTTTTGCCCTGAGGACCATTTTAAAGTGAAACAAGCATCCCTTTACAGTCAAGCATCCTTCCCAAAAAAAAAGGGCACTTCTTCTACCACCATATCCGCTTCGCAAAGTGCACTAGAGGCAAAACTTAGTGCAGAAGGAAAAAGAAAAACCAAAACATGCTACATTCTCGCTCTCGCCTGGTCTCCCCCCGCTACCGTCACCAGAGTAGACTGACAAATAAATAGTCGACACACCTCTGTTCAAAAGACGTTTTTGTGAAATTAAATTTTTTTTCCGCCATTTAATCTCACTATATAACCTGTGCAACTCCATTGAAAGTAGGACTAAAGAACCGCGCACACCTTCATACCAGGGGATGTGGCTGAGTTCAAAATTGACCAATCACATTCAAACTCCTGTCAAATGGGAATCACGGGAATTATTTTAAAAGTACCGCTGATGAGGGCCAAATGAAGATCAAACCTGATTTTCATATATACTGCCAGAAACAGCCTTGAAAACTTCCCAAACGCACATGTTGCGGTCCAATGAAGTCGTGGCCAGGAAAAGCCGACTAGAACAACTAACTCTTTCAGGGAAAGCGGTTACTACAGTGGACAGCTTATCATGTTATTAGGTTACAGGATGCATGAAAGGGTTAATTTCACAAAAAAAGGAAAAAAAAAGGCATTTGAACAGTGGTGTGTGGACTTGATACATCCAGTGTATGAAACCCAGGACTGTGTGTCGGCAACCTTAACCCAAAGTCGAACGTGGTTATATCAGACTGACGTACGTAACCCTAATGTGAAGCCTTCATATTTGGAAGAAAATATACTATGAATAATTAAAAAAAAAAAGAACATCCTAAGGGTGCCAGGAACTTAAAAAAGATTTAACAGAGGAGGCGCTTTTCTTGTTCAAGTTCCCGGTAGAAACGGGAGAACTGTCATGTCAGGTAGGTGAGCTAGCGGCGAAAAAAGTCGGAAAGAGGAGGAGGGCGGCGTTCGAGGGGCAAAAATACATCCCGCTCCGACACTTGTGAAGTGCACCCCCTCACTTAGATGTTGAATAGTCACAAACATTCCAGAAGGTCTTAGTTGCTACAGAGTTCATATATGTTCTGTACACGGCCTCAGGGGGAGGGGCAACAACAAAAAGAGAAAATATGGCTGTCTAACAGAAAAACAGTTCCGCTGCTACGTGTGTGCGTCCGCCAGGAAATGCCCGTGGAGAAAGAGGAAGAGGCGTGGCTACTCTGAGAGTCCCCGCGCCCGACCTCCAAAGTGTCGAAAGGGGAGCAACAACAGGAGAGGTTTGAGGTTTTCGGGGGTCAAGAGTGACTGCATAGACAGAATAGTGGGGCGAGAAAGGTGAGGGCGGGGCGTTGGGGAGGGGCAGAAGCAGGGGGGTGAGCTCTACTTTGCGCTGCGGGGGGTGTGCGTGTGTGCATGTTTGCGTATGAGCGGCGTCCCCGCGGGAGGAGGGTCGTCCGTCCGATCCAGGCCCGTTGAGGCGTGCGCATCCGGGATGCCGTTAGAGATTAGTGAGGCCGAGCGGGACCCTGGCCAGAGGACAGTTTGACCCCCGTCAGACACAGCCAGAAACTCCCGGCACTGCCTGACAGCTCCTTTAAACACAAAGAAAAAAATATGCTGCAAAGATATGTTTTAGAAAAGTTGTATCACTTAAAAAAAAAAAAAAAAAAACTAAAAGTGGTATTTGTTTTTTTTTTCTTATAAGAAAAAAAAGCAATTTTGATACATTTCAGAATCTTTCCAGAATCTTTTTGAGAAAGTTGTAGCTAATTTTATTCTTAAAATGAACAAATAAAAGTTGGAGTGTAAGTGAATTTTTGAGAGAAAAAAGTTCAGAAGAGTATTTTGGACAATTGTAATTCTAAATCTGAGATCAAAGTCTCAATCATGCGCGAATAACATTGTACATTTATGAAAAAAAATCGTGCTTTTGATATTATTGTAAAAGAAACTAACAATCTAACACGGATAAATTAAGTTCCAAATCCTACTCACTCCTTTGCACCACAAAATGTGAAAACTGCCCAATTTTTTGAGCGGGGGAACGCTATGATGTTTACCTTGTGAGACAGAGGAGGGAAGTGGTGATGACAAGGTGATGAAGAGGATGGAGGAGGTGATGGCGGTGGAATAGCGACAGGGACTCAGGACAGAGGAAGCAAGCAATGGGAGGAGCAGGCACTGACGTCAGCCTGCTTCGCCTTGGAGACGAGACAGAAAGAAGAAGAAGGAGAAAGAAAGAGACACCGGACGAAGAAACGGAGGGAAGCAGTGCGTCACTCTGCTTAGCCACAAGGGGGCGGCAGAGCGCTGTACTCACAAAGCTGCGGGTGGCGGTCAGGCGGGCGTGGCGCGGGGTCACCACCACAGTGCCACTCAGGCTCCGTCCCATTCTCCTGGGGTTGTCCCCCTCGACATCTGGCCCCGCCCCCAAACGCAGACCCTGCAACATCATCGGCTGCGAGGCGCGAGAGGAAGAGGACGTCATTCATGTGGATGGGAATGGCGACAAAGAAGAGAAAATGGGAGAGAAGGCGATGGGGGAGTGGGGGGGGGGGGTTCACCTTGTTGAGGTAGGGGGGGGGGCTGGCGCCGTCCGGCCCAAAGGGTTGGGGGGGTGGGGGGGGGGGGTTCACCTTGTTGAGGTAGGTGGGGGTGCTGGCGCCGTCCGGCCCAAACACGCTCCTCTCCATGTCTGCGTTGGGGGTTCTGGAGCGAGCTTGCCCTCCCACCCTGGAGATGAGCCGCTCTGACGGGCTGCAGCCTACACAGGAAGAGCGACCATTTTAGGAGTGGAAGTTAGTCCATTTAGAGGAGCTTTGAAACCGTGTCGTAATTTGACATATTCAGTGGTGCCTTGAGATATGATTTTTTTTTTAGTCCGTGCGTACCTGTCCTCCCAGCCTGCAGACTGGCCTGGTAAAGGGTGTCAAGCTCTGTAAGCTCTGTTATCTCGGGCTCCTCACGCTCCCAGCTGGTGGGATCGCCATGTTGCCCCGAGGCACGTTGGGAGCCGTAGTTCCCTCGAGCGGGCTGGCGACCGGCCCTGGGTGCTTGCGACGGGATGGCAGCGTAGCGGTCCGGTGGGGTGTCGTAGGGCGTCACCATTGCGTCGGGACGGTCTAGACTCCAAGAGGACCAATGGCGGGTGGCTCCGTCGGAGGGCAGCCAACGTTGAGGGGTTGAGGTGGAACCGGGCTGAGGGGGCTGCCAGAGAGGCGTGACAGGTTTGGTGACGGGAGGCGGCGGCAGAGGAGGAGGAGGGAGCGTTACGGGCGTCTCCCAAAAGCGCAGCGGGAGGGATGGAAGGGAAATGGCCAAGTGCCTCCCCAAGGGTCTGACGCTCACCCCCCCGGCCTGGAGCAACTCGCACAGCCTCACCCCCCCACCGACGTCATTGGAGGGGGCGCACGGGTGAGCGATGCTGAGAGTGAGCGCCGGACGAGGGGGAGCCACTGTGTGGCGGTAGGGTGGAGGTGGAGGCAGAGGGGGCGGGGCCTGGCTCTGAGCTGCATCCTGATTGGCCACCGGGTCCTCTTCCTCCCCCTGATTGGGCGTCAGCAGTACTTGGACCGAGTCAGGCTGTTCACTGGAGGGAGGGGGGACAAAAAGAATTGTAGTGACGTCCGGGTGCTTTGTGGGAAGGTTTCAACAAGCACTTGACAGGGTAACAACCCGGCAACACACACACACACACACACACACACACACACACACACACACACACACACACACACACACACACACACACACACGGCCTGGTGATGTTTGGCAGGGCTTCTCAAACTTATTGAGCTTTAGGACCCCTATCGTGTTGAAATTAATTAAAAAATTAAATTAAAAAACAAGTTCTTCAAGAAAAGATGCAGTGTGACCATAACATTTTTTTTTTTTTTTTGGGTGCAAAGCTATGAGAATAGTCCTTTTTTTTTCAAGGAAAAAAGATTGGCATGCACTTTTTAAAAAGATATGACATATTTTAATGCCCCAAGCCACAGCTAACGGGCCCCCCCGGGGATCCAGGGACCCCAGTTTGAGAACCCCTGATATATGCGATTTCACAGCCAGGCACAGGCACAGCGCGCTCACACACACTCACACACTTTCCGATGCCAGCATATCATGCGTTTTAATCAGACTTTCCAAACAGCCATCTTCGAGCAGCGCCGCAGAAAATAATTCGCTCTCAGCAGTCGGCCGGATCACTTCATTAATTTACATGCGGGCAAATGATGTACGCGCGACATTAGGGGATCCTATTTGCGCGTCTTATCTGCGTATGTGTGTGCGCGTGTGAACAGCTCGTGCATCAATTTTTGCTTTTTTTTTTTATGTTTGTGTTGGTGTGTGCGTGCGTGCACCCCCCATCAACTCTTTTCAGCCTTAGTAATTACCCAGCAGGCTTTGCAGCAGTGGCTATAAATCAGACACTAGTGTTGATCAATAGAGAAGAGGTAGGATGTCGAATTAAAAAAAAAAAAAAAAAAAAAAGGCGCAGAGGACGAAGCGTTTTCTCTCTCTTCCTCTCTGCGAACAGTTTGACTTGAACAGTGAAGAAGTTGAGGGGTTCAAAAGAGCTTTTTTGAGCCATCTCCCGTCGAAATTGGATGCCTTCAGGATCTCTGCAGACTGACACGCTGTTGCCCTCAAGCACATCCGCAAAACGCATCGCACGACACAAAACAAGTGCGACCGCCATCACACGTCAGGACACAGCGGCACAAAAAGGAGAAAGCAGTGGGAGGGGACGAATACACAACTCTCTTTCTGAGCCCAGCCAAGCAAGGCACACGCAGCAGGATGTGCACAACAACAAAGCGCACGCACGCACACACACATCGACGAGGAATCCAGCAGGGTTGCGGCGGGAGGCAGGTGGGTCACAGTGGCGGCGTGTATACCTGCGAGGCCCCTGTGGGCGAGGGGCGCCTCCTGACTCCCGTTGCTGCACTTCCTGTTCCGGCCTGCCTCTGAGCGGGCCGCCAGCGCTCCTCATGCACGCGGCGGCTACAGATGAGCCGCTAGGAGCGCTGGCCTCATGCAGGGGTCTGAGTACAGCTGAACCCGCGACAGAGTCGGGCAAGAGGGGGGGTGGCGGGGGGCAAGGGGACAGAGTGATGAGGAAAAAGAGAAGAAGAGGATGACAAAAGAGGAGAGAGAAGCAGATAGAGTGGTTATGTTGTCATATGAGGAAGGGGGAGGGGGCGGGGGGGGGGGTTAGCATGCATCCTGCTGCTCTGCAAAAGGTGTGACATCGAGGGTGGGCAGAGTGGGGCTCCTGGGCTGGCAACGTTCTTTTATCCAGCCTACCGAGTAGCGACTTCATCAAAAGACTTGTAATATTTGTTCAGATCAGAAATCAGGGGCGTGCAGAGGAGAGGGGGCCTTATGGGGCACCGGCAGCCACAGGAACATCCATCCATTCATTTTCCGTCAACAAAAATTCAAGGTCAAAAGACGAGCGAGACTGTTGTTGCGTTTTGCCCCGGACTGTTTTGAGGGGCCTTGAACGCATCGATACGGATACTCCACAGCGAAGCAAACACTTATGTAAGCGCGCCGATAGTGAAGCCATCTGTCCACTCGCTTGACGTCCTCACACTTCATCAAGGTTGCCTGTACTCGCGGCCGTGTGTGTGACACACACACACACACACACACACACACACACACACACACAAATCTAATAATCCCGCGTCCAGATTTACTTAGTGCTGAGCCGGGGGGAGGGGCGGGGGGACCTTCACACCTGCAGTTCAGAGAAGGCGCATCCACACAAACGCACAACAAACACAAATGCATGTCTTTCTGGCCCAGTGATGACTCCTTTTGGTGAGCGCTTTGATGCAGGCCACAAACAGAAAACACACATTCATGTTCTTATGACCTGTGAGGACCGTATTTGGCCACTTCTATGCTGCAAGCCACAAGTCCTTATGCCCTCTGTGAGCTTCACATTTTGCAATCTTGATTCTGTGGGCCACTAACACCAACTACATGTCTTTATGTCTCTGTGATGACCGGATGGAATTAGCTGTTTGCCACAAACCAAGGCATACATACACTTACATGTCTTTGTCTCTCTGTGAGGACCACATTTTGGCGTCATTTGTGCTGTGGGCCACAGTGCACTGAGGACCACATCTTGAAATTTTTTATGTCCCTGCGAGGATCACATAATATAATGTCTCCTCTGCAAGGCCACCGACATACACAAATACGTGTTTATGTCCCTGTGTAGATTACATTTTGCATAAGCTGTGAGCCTTGAACACTCACTCACTGTCTCTGTTAGGATGACATTTTGCTCGTTCTTTGCCGTGGACCACCACTTGTTTTAGAGCTGGAATGTTGCAAAACCAAAAAGAGTCATTAGAGGGTAGTAGAGCACTATCACTTCCCATTTCTAATCACACACACACACACACACACACACACAGAGTCCTGATGTGTAGCAAATGTTGCATAGCAGGACGGAGAACATACTTTTCTTCGCCATGCCGAGTCTAGTCACGCCAAGTTTTTCTCCACGATTATTTTGCACATTAATTCATGCCGCCTCGCATCCTTTTTAATGAACTCTAGAAAATGACATGCGAGATTGCTGCCTGCCATTTATTATTCGGGCCTTCCGCGTTTTAGAGGCAGTGCTCGGGGAATTATTGCGTATTCCAAAATGGTTCTTGTCCTTGGCACTCGGAATGTAATTAATTGCAAATTTGTCAAAGCACATTTAATTTTTGTTTTTTTAAGGATCCGAAGATATTCTTCCAAAACATTCTGCAAAAGTCTGTGTGACATGGTGTTTGTGTGTGTGTGTGTTACAGTAACAAAAGCACAGCGGCGGAGGGGGCTACTTAATGGAGAGGCAGACGAGCAGATGGGCATGAGGGCAAGAGAAGAGGTCAGACAGACGTTTGCATATGCGAGTGACCTCGCAACCAAACAACTCGCTGCATAGCGTGTGACGTCACACGAGCGGCAATTCACCAAGCTGAATTGTCGGATTAGAGTGACGTGGACTTGGTCGTACCCTGGTGCTGGAGCTGATCCAGGTCCATGAATTTGCTGGGTTTGGGGTTGAAGCCCATGGCCGCCTCCTGTTCTGCCTCCTTGCGCTTCTGCTGCTCCTGCTGGCGGGCTCTCCTGGCCACCTCCTCCTGTAGCTCGTCCAGCTCGCTGCGCCCTGAGACTGACAAAAAAAAATTGCGGTATTTGCCTGGTTCGACTAGCTTAGCTACGTAACATCCGGTAATCTAAAAGCTTTTAGATCCGAACGCGCCTAGTTGGAGCATTACCAGGCCTGATGGCGTTACCCCAGCTCGGCGAGGGCAACTCCTGCAGAATAGCACCGCTGCTCTTTGACTTGGGCACCGAGCGCCATGACGGTCCGGACATCAGCGCCCGTTTCTGTTGGCCCACCTCCCTGAGGGGGAAAACAATTAAAATAAAAATAGCTGATGATTTAGTTCTTTGGACAGCTGTATTCCGTTTTTTTTTTTTTTTTTTTTTTTTTTTTTTTGATATTCTGCTCTTTTATCTAATCCAGACAGGGCTGCTGCTGTTCCTCTCGCTGCTCTCGTAGCCGCTCTCCATCCTCTGGATCAGGCGAGGCTGGTGCTCAACCCCCCTCAGAGGCGTCGGGGCAGGGGGGCCCATCATCCGTCCCAGAGTTCTGGGCTGCCCAACCGGTCCGAATCTCGCCTCCACCTCCGCAACCTGCCTGCCCTCGGTAAGTTGCGAGCTCCGCGGCGTTGGGGTGGTGGGCCGCACGCAGGGTGAGGGTGACTGGAGCGGCGGCGGGTGAGAGGGTCCCGGCAGGGTGTGGTAACCCTTAGAGCAGATCCGCTGGCTTTGGCCCGAGAAGATGCTGTCGATGTTCAGGGCTTCTCTCCGGGGCCTCCAGGTGGGCCGGTAGCAGCCGCCAGAAGAACTGAACAAGACTTTCACTTCAGTAATATTCTACAAGACGACTAACATCTAAGAATGTGAATTCAAACATTGTTTTCCGGCACTTGATAGAAGACGGTCTGGTCCGTACCTGGACTTGCTCTCGCTGCTGGTGCTCTCATCCTCCCAGTGAGGTCCCCCGACGCCGCCCTCGCACCCTCCCACCCCCGAAGAGGAGGAGGAGGACAGTGGCCGAGAAGAGGACGAGGAAGAGGTGAGCGGCCGCCGTGAGGAGAGCAGGAAGACGGCCGTCTCCTTGTACTCCTGCAGGGGGGGAGAGGGAGGCCGGTGAGGACCCTCCACTGCTGACTCTGGAGAGACAAAAGAGTTAGCTCATAAGGGGAGGAAACATCCTAAATATAGTGATGTCATTGCTCATAGATTGTAATTATTCACGCTGTTAAAGATATACAGTCTGAGATTTCCATGGTGAAACGCTACCTCCCGCGTCGGCAGCGTGCGGCGGCGTTCCAAGATCGTAGTTGCAGACCACGGTGGTCTGAGAGTCGCTGGATAGGTGGCTGCCCGTAGACTGGTGCAAGGGCCGGCTGCGGTAGGCGCGGTGGCTGCAGCTGTCGGTCGACGAGTCCGTGCGGGTGTCGCTGGAAATGGACGGCTCCCGACCTGAAGGGAGACCTTTGGCGCTTAATCTCCGGCTCCCATATGTTTAGGAGAAATGATGCCGTTGGGGATTAGGAGGTCGAAGGTCGACCTCCGGATCATGGACGCATGTGCGTAATCCAGGGGTGGGCAAATGTTTGAGCTCAAGCGCCACATTTGGTTTTGAAGAAAAAAATAAATAAAAAAAGACTCTCAGGCCATTCCGAGATGAGATACGAGGTGATGACAAACTGTTTATTTTCCTCCGAACTATCCACCCATTCAGTGAGCCGGAGCCGATCCCTGTTGATTCAAGGTGCGGTACGCTTTATATTTTGCATGAGGGAAAATCGAATCAATCATAAATCGGATTAGAACAAGAATGGAAACAAATCTGCAGTTTCATAACTTCAACTTCATGTTTCTTGAATCATCCGTCCATTTCTTGTCAACGCTGCAGATCCTATTCGGTGGAGCTATACCGGCTAACTTCACCCTGAAGTGATGTGTGTGCATGCGTGTGTGTGTGTGTTTAGCCTGGGTTGTTAGCAAAGTTAAGGAGAGTCATTGCTGCATTGGTGTAAAGTCTCTGCTGAGCAACATTTATTTTTCAGGATGTAAGATGAGTTTAAAAAAAATGAGTCCGTAACTTGAGGTTTTTCGCTGTTTGCAGCAGTGCTCGACCCCCCCCCCAACCCCCCCACACCGGACTGTGATGTGAGGTGTGGCGTGGCGGAGGCATATACCCGAGTCTTCGCTGTCGTAGCCGGCCTTGCTGCTGCAGTGCTGGATCTCCAGCGGCGGGTCGGCGCCGGCGCTCTCCTGCAGTATCACCGGCGTCCCGCGGGGGTCAGCGTAAAGTAGCAGCAGGGGCTGATAATGGCCTTTGATACAGCGGGACACCACGTCCTTCCACTTAGGGCCGATCTGGAGACACACAGGAACCCGCCGCCCGGAGACACACGTGTATGAGGCAAGTAAACGAATCCATTTTCAGAGAGACCATGTTGACTTTATCGCCTGAAGCAGAAGGTCAGACACGTCTGCAGGATTGCTATCATGTGAGCAAGGACGTATAGCTTCACTTACACTCCCTGGCACATTCCGACAGAGTAGTCGCATCGAAACGACCTTAACGCGCAATCATAGGTGGACGCAAACGCACGCACGCGCGCACGCACCTCTTTGACGTGGGCATCGTCGAAGTACATCCATTTGCGTATCTTGGTCTGGAAGAAGAAGGTGGAGTAGTGCTTGCCGTAGTAGCACACCATACCCACCAAGTAGAGCTCTGCCTGGCGAGCCCGCTCCTCTGTCACACGGTAGAACAACTACGGTGAGGGAGGGAGAGAGGTGGAGGGAGGGATGCGGGGGAAGAGAGGGAAGAGAGGGTGTGCGGCGTCAGACAGATGAGTTCACGTGAATGCCGGCAGCTTTTTTTTTTTTTTTTTGCTTTTCTTTGATGCCATATGTGGTAATCCTGTGCACCAAACGTTTCCCGTTGTCATATTTTGCTTGTTTAAAATAATCATGAAATCACTCAGAATAATAAGAAATGTTTTTAAGAGGATTTGATCATTATTATGATTATTATAAAATCCATTACAGATTTTAATTCATATCATTTTGTTTGATAGGAATTTATCCCTAGTCAGTAAATACCGAAATAAATTTCCACCATTTTGGTTATCTACAATTTAAAAAAATAAAATACAGAAATGCCAGTAGGTGAACTATTCCAATGTATTTTTGTATGTACAGTACGGTTTTATAAATAAAACACTTTCGACAAATTTCTTTTAATAATTGGAATTTTATAATTATTACTTTTTAATGTCTTAATTTGCCCGGCAAAACTAAACACGATATGCCGTATAGAAAATTGATGGCTGGACTGATGAATTTTAAGAAATATAGCACAATATGGTTCCAAAATAATTGTTCTAAATATTGTTTTTCTTTCTGTGATATATTATTTGATAAATGTCAAATATAAATATGTAAACTGTCTTATTGTGAAAAAAGCCCCAAATACAATTGGCTTCTGGAATCTTGACATTTTTTAGGCAATTGGATGAAAAGGCGTTCTCGGATGTGTTTGGTGTGGAGAAAATCAACCTAAAAGAAAAAAAAAGTCTTTCCAGAAGAGTGTAAACTGTTCAAGCAACCCCCCAGGTGTCCGGATCGCGTTTCCCACTAATATATTTAATTACTAATCAGAATGAGACAGATTTTGCTGCCTTCTTTTGTCTGGAATCCCGAAGCCATTCCGTCAAATAGCACGTTAAGCGGCGCATTGTCTCATTTAAGAGGCACGACGCACGTAATTATCCAAATTGTCGTCTATTTGTCGCAAATGGGCTAATCGTCTCGAGCGACGAAGAAAAGACGAGAGAAACGGCGACAGGAAGTGGAGGCGCTGCGGCGGCGGGGCATGTGGATCCACTTCTTGTGACACAAAAGCATAAAAGGCATCGCGCCTGTGACGACGAGCTCCATCTCAGAGATGAAGAATGACAGGCAGCAGTAGGAGAAAAGCCGACATGACGGAAGGAGGAGTTGGCAGCGGTGGTGGTGTTGGGGGGGGGTTGTGTGTAGAAGAACTTGACACGCTATAATGCTGACTTATGCATTATTCATGGGAATCACTTCAGAACGAGTGTGCCCGAGATGTTACAGCGGCATTGAAATGCACCGACATCGCTCGGTCATGACACTGCTTTGCAACACGTGTGCTTATGTGTGTATGTGTGTGTGAGGGCTGCCCGAAGGAAGTCCCTGAATCACGTGTCGTGTCGATGTCTGTGCTCTGTCGATCGATGTGATGGGATCCAATACCAAAACACAGCCTTTACGACCATAACTCCGCTTTTGGGGAAACGGCTCTTAGGTTTAGGAGAACAAACACCCTCTCAGTGATATGGGCAAACAAACCCTCCTTCAGTCATAGGTGGCGCTCCTTTCATAATGAGCCTTTAAGTGGGCCAAACAAGCGCTCCCTTGGCGGATACGTTTTAAGATTGAAAAACAAGCAGTCCCTCAGTGTTAAGTCTCAAGGTGGTCAAAACAAGCAATGCCTTGGTCATTTAACTTAAGAAGGGCAAAACAATCACTCCATCTGTGGGCCAAACAAGAACTCCCTCGGTGATATGTCTTAAGATGGACAAACCAAGTGCTCCCTCACTGTCGCCATCACGAGAGCAAAACAAGCGCGGCCTCAGTGAGATGTTTGAAGATGGGCAAAACAATCACTTGCTCAATTGGGCCAAACAATAATTTAAGTGCATTCACTGGCCTCACTGGAGAAATTTTTCAAACACGAGCTCGCGAAATGTGTCAAAATCCAACTGGACAGTGGGTGGGGGAAAAAGTGCCCCGTTGGCATGACAACCATAGCCCCTCCTCCTCCTGTGCCACGCTGTCCTCAGTCCACCAGGGTTTCATCAGCTCAGGCCACTAACCGCCTCCCTGTCCTCAATCTGAAGGTTACTTCCTTTTGCGGGAGCGCCGCCTCTGCCGTCAGGTCCTTCGGAGGTCAGAGGAACAACTTTTTCATATTCATATTCGGTTTTGAAAACCTTGTGTGGTCAGAAGACGATATAGTTTCACGGCAGCATATGATACAAAAAGAAATAAATCAAGTGCTCTCTCTCTCTCTCTCTCACTCTCTCAATAATAGGCTGAAGAAAAGTATGCAGTCGGAGTTGTTCCGTAAAGCTTATTACTGCCACCTACTGGACCGGAGTGGAAGAACCACACTTACATCTCCCAGGCGCAGGCAGGTGCCCAGGCTGTGTATGACGTCCTCAGCCAGGTCAGAGTGGTCAGAGTCCCATACCAACCCAATGGAGACGATCTCCGGTGAGTTCATCAGCACACGGCGGATGCGCAACACCTCGCCACAATTACTCTGAGAGAACAAGACACAAAGGAAAGGACAAAAGTATTGAAAGACCCTCCTTTTTCACTTCCTTTCGGTCACATCCTGTGTTGTGTGAGGATGACAATGACGTGAATGATGATTATGATGGAAGGATGCGGACGTCACAGGGACATAGTTGCCCCTGGGGCCCTCTGCCAAGTTTAGGACTGCATGTACTGGATGGTTCCTTTTGAGTCATGAACTACCACCGAGCTGGAGCGCACACGCTCGCAAGCATACGCACACATACAGCGTTGGCATAGCCGCCTCGGAAGCAGCCTGAAAACACCCTGGCGACCGGTGGGCTTTGCCAACACAAACCTCCCACACACACATATGCGGCACACACTGGACTCCCTCTTTGAGGAAGTGTGGGGAGGGGACGGACGGGCTGGGATGATGCTTTGCCAGTATCTGCCTCTCCATTCTCAAGAGAACCTTTCCAGCACGTTATATAATTGAACCGGCGGTCAGATGAAAAGTGCGGGTTTGCAGAATACTGATCACGGAAACTCCTCGCAACTCATTAGACACCGCGGCGAGGAGATAATCCACATTTAATCAATCAGCAAACGAAGGGGCACTGATGATGATGTATTATCCTCCATGTATCCGCTATGTGACTACAGAGCAGGTCAAATATTCAAATTTCCACAAAAACGAATACGGTTGGGTGCACAAAATCTTTACCTGCACAATAGAGTGCAGGACAACAATGAGCCCTTGACAAAGATAATAATGCTTTTTTTTTTCTTCGCACTGCTACAGTTGTTACGGTGAGCGAACAAAAAGCACTCCATCCCTCATTGAAGCGGGCCAACCAGGCGTTCTCTCAGTGATCGTTTTCAAGGTGAGCCAAACAAGCGATGTGATGACTTAAGGTGGGCAAAAGGAGCACCAGAAAAGTGTCGGTCAGCAAAACAAGCGCTCCCGCAGTGATATCATGAGGTGGGCATAACAATCACTCCCTGAGTGGGCCAAACCATCATTCTCTCAGTGATAAATATTTGCGTAAGCATAACAAGCCTTGCGATGTATTCAGTGGGCTCAAAACAAGCACTCTGTCAATTATATGTCTTTAGTTATGCAAAACAAGCACTCCTAAAGGAATATATTTTAAGTTACACGCGCACAAAAAAGCACTCCCTTAGTGAAAACTTAATATAGCAGTGCCCCGCCAGTCGTACTGTTTGTCTTGACTTGAGTAGGGCAAAACGAGCCTCTCCGGTGTCTTCAGTTGGGCGAAGCAAACACTCCATCAGCGATATGTCTTAAAATGGGCAAAAACAAACATTCGCTCAGTCATTTCACAAGGTGTTCCGAACAAGCGCTCCCTCGGTGATGTCTCGAGGTGGCAGTTGCTTCGAACATTTATCCCTTAAAGCGAACAATAAAAATGTCAATCAAAAGTAGCCCTAGTATTTTTGGAGAGATGTGTGACAGGTTGCAGCAGCTCATGATGGAGGCAGGAGGGATGCGGGAGGAGGGGGTCCAAAGCTTTGTAAAGAGGCCCAGAGAGGAACCTCTTTGTGGGTACACTTTTTGGCAAGCGGAGGAGCTGCCGCGTGAAGCCAAGCTGGATCTATTCACTTCCCCAATGTGGCAGCACAACACACACCATCCTCATGGAGTCCCTTTTTCCTTCTATTCCAAATTCTCCGCTAAATTGGACAACAATCCCTGAATGTTCTCATTCCAAATTGTCTCCAAACCCAATTTTATTATTATAATTATTATTATATATATTTTTTTTAAATGCAAAGCGTTGCACCGCGTCATCATGCTGCAACAAGCTGAATACAGCCTCGCTTTACGATAAGGACAAGTCCGGAAAAAAAAAAAATGCTTACGGAGACGAAAGCGACGGAGAACATGCAAATGAGCTGTTGATTATGTAAGCAACGCAAACACAATAAAACCATCTGCGATTCTGTTATGTAACGCCGGCATTATTATTATTTCATCGTCTTTATTATTAAGCACTTGTGCGGATAGGATAGATGACTCCGCGCGTAGTTTCTGCAACTAAATTCGTTTAAAATGTTGTGTAACTGCGAGTGAATGGGGGCGGGGGTTGTCTCACCGGGCAGTTGCGCAGGTCCCCCATGTTGCTGGCGTTGCGAAGAAGTTCCCCAAACATGTCCGGTGTGGCCCTCTCCCGGCACTCCAGCATCCTCACCGCTTGGTTACTGCAGCAACACACACAACCACTGACATTAGCATCGTGTCCGTATTATACATATGTCACATTACCATTTAGAGGGGTATCTAATGAAGTGGCCAGCACCCCCCCCCACACCCCCCCTCCCAAACCACTGCTCCACAAATGGATTTTATGTTGCCCACCCAAGACTCCCACTGCCCTCTCTTGGGTCCCTTGAATCGAATCGCTGATTGATGACTTCCGTATAGTATTGACTTCCTGTGTGCCTGCGCCATATCGTGTGCGCTTATGTACGTGTGTGTGTGTGTGTTTTTACCATAGGGACGTGGTCGAGATGTAATGAACCATCTGAATGAAGGGCAACGGGTCCGACGTGGCGCCGCAGCTGTTACACACGCACTGCAAGTACAAATACAGACACTCAGCCACGATAGGCTGATTATATTTATGGTGTGTGCGTGTGCACGTGCCTGCTCAAACAGGGTCATGGCAAACTTCTGGTGCGGGATGCAGTGTTTGGCCGTGCAGATGTCTTCTCGGCTCTCTGCGCTGATGTGGAAGTGAATCCGCATCAGGAGGTTTTCCTGACAAGACCAAAAATCATTTTTTTTAAATTGGATTGTTTTTGTAAAATTCATGGCTAAAACAAAAAACACTCTCATTGTATGAATAACTAAATTCTCATTACAGCGGGTCTCCTCCAATCTAACTTTGCCAAAAGCTTTGGGTGCGCGCTGGCACCCGTGACTCACAAAGCACTCTGCAGCGTCATCCATGATGCCCAGCTGGAAGCGCTGTTCGTCCTGGAAGGTCTTAGCCAGGGCGCTCCGCAGCGCGTCGGATGGCAACACGCGCTCACTGCTGAACTGAAACTGGGCAAAGATGCTCTGCAAACACATAGGCGGAGGAACGGTAACCCATCAAAGTGCCGAGCAACAAATGTAGAGACGGCGGAGGCGGCCGGGCTTCCATAGCAGACGCCATCAATAATGCATGCGCGCTTTTCTCCCGACAAAAAACAGACCGCAGAGTGCTTTGTAGCGGCAAAATAGAAAAGCGAAGCAAACTGTTGCGGGCTGAAAAGTATGCCTTGAATCCAGACACACAAAAATAAACAGTGCTGTGCAACAGACTTTATTTGACCCCAAATTGTGGCTGCTCCAACTGTAAAGGCGGCAAAGTTCATCGCAAGATCTAAAATTTCGCTAACGTTTTCAACCTTCTGTTTGTAACGTAGACCTCCATTAGAAACTAATAGTTTGCATCAGTTAATGTATATAGTCTTGCCTTTGTTTGCCAGCTAGCTTTCTATTAGTCAACAATAGTTAGCATTAGCTAAGGCAGAAGAAGACTGGGCACCATGTTTATTTCATGATTGTTTCGCCAATTGCATGTTTTCCTTTTGGCCTTTACGAATGTTCATGTAATTTGTCAGTTCAAGGTAGCATTCAACCACGCAACTAAAATATTAGTCTTCAATACTATATCATTATCGCATGATTTGACTGTGGTCTAAGTTGTCCTGTGGAAGGTGATAATGAATATTACGTTGCAATATCTGCAATTGTGCATGTGGGCTGTTAAGGGCAGTCCAGGTGATTGGTGGTTGTGACGTCGGCAAAGATGAAAGAAGGCACACAAGGACATTTCAGTTTGAACGCTGAAGTGACTCAGTCGTGCGCGTGGAGTGACTGGGCGTGAATTGTCGCACAAAGCAGCTCTTGGATGAATGGGGCATTCTGTTTCCGTTGCCCTGACGTTCCATATTTTTAGGTGTTTCTCTCATTTCTGTGTTTCTCATCTCAAGACATCACCTTTGACCTTTGGGAGGCAGCGGATCAAGATGGCGGCGGCCATACCACAGGAAGATGACGTCATAAAACAGCTGAGGGGGGCTGGCATTGGCAAAGGTAATGTCGTCGTGCTGAAAGTGTGTGTACGTGTATAAGTGTGTGTGTGTGTGTTATGACTGCAGCAATGCGCCAAGGAGAATGGAGGGGGAATATACCCTACAGAGAGAAAGGGGGAATGGAGGGAGGTTGTGAGGAGGGGAACAAGGAAGAGATGGGGTGGAGTGTGCGTGCGTGCGTGTGTGCGTGTGTGTGCGTGCGTGCGTGCGCAAGTGTGCATGTGCACCCAGCAGTCTTAATTGCAAAGTTTGCAGCCATCTACACCAACTCACACATTCATTCATCTTTCTCCTTCACTCCCCTCCCCTCCTCCCATCCCATTCTACTTCTTCTCTGGTAGAGACAGATGAAATGTTGCAGCAATTTCCAGTGGCCCAAGTCACATGATGCTGTTTTGTCAAACCAAGTTTAATGTGCTGAATTTAAGAACCGGTGTATTTATAAATATACACGTTTGTCTTTAAATTGAAGTTCATTGAATTGACATAGGCGAGCGCCACAACACACCAGCGCGCGCCTACAGCAGCAAATCAAAGTGCACGTGCGTGCACTGATATTGTGTGTAGCCGTTTGTGTGTGTAAGAAACAATGTGTGTGTTTGTGTGCCGCGTGGGTTCTGCTTAGCTCGGCGCTTTCAGTCAGGCCAATTAATTACAGTGGAGTGCTGTGGAGACCCAACAGTGTGTTGCTGCCGCACTACAGCACATTAGTCACGGTGATACGCCTCCGCTCAGGCCACATGTTGGTCGCCATCCGTGCAACAAATGTGTTGCGTTATATTATGGGGCTGTTATGTTCACGATAACACCAGATTTTGCCCTGCAATTTTGAAATCATTCAGCCTCTGCCATTAAAACCACATGGTCCCTGATGTCTCAAAATCGTTTCACTCGTATATTATTTTGCACTTGCATGTATGTCATCCTCTTTCAAAATTGGCCCCGGATTCAAATAAATCATATTTTGTCGACGAAACTGTATTAACGTTCTCGTAACAGGAATAAGCAACCAGGATTACCAGAAGGAGCAAACTAATAGCCGCCGTCACTGGACATCGTCATCGCTTAGAGAGAAAGCCACTTGAACTGTAGCTTTAAATGCATTATAGGTTTAAAAAAAAAAAAAAAACAACGGCTGATGTGTTGTTGTTTTTTTACCTTGAGTGCGCAGAAGATGCATGAGTCCTCCATGCATTTGTGTATGGTCAGCTGGCGAAAGCTCCTGCGGAAGATATCCAGATGCCACAAAACCTAAAGAAACAAAGCCGAGTTAAAGTCGTCAAATTTAAAAACAACGAAGACGCTTGACATAAATAAAACTTTCATTGGTATTTGACTTGTCTATTAAGAAGAACACAAAAAAAAGGAGTGCTTTGTCTAACAATGTAAACAAGGGAGGGTTATATCGTACGGTAGATGGATTCATGTCACAATAAAATAAAATATCTATTTGTGACCTTTAAAAATGAATTGGATGAAAATGGGCCCCAATTTCCGATCAGTTTTATTTCTTAAAATATTAAAAAATAAATAAAGATGGAGATGCATGCGCTTCTTTGAACAGTAATCCAATGTTAAACACCATCTCAAAACCTTTGCTGCGGTGGCCCGATGCCGGCACACAGTTGCCGTGGAAACACAACATGCTTTTTTTCCAGCACGTTGCCCGTCAAGGTGCGTTTTGCTGTAGTCAAAAAATAGCAAGCGAGGCAGCCAGCGAGAGGCAGAACTACTCGAGGGGATCATTTGTTCCGACAAGCGGCGGCCATTATCAGCGCAATTTGTGGCCAAACCCCCCCCCCCCCCCAAAAAAAAAACCCTCTCAATGAGATCAGATAACGAATAGAGCACAACAAACCCAATTCACTGGCAGACATGTTTTATTTATTTATTTTTAAAATGCCGTGACATCGAGCTACCATGTCGTCCTCATCGTATCTCCCTTTCTTGTCCTTCCCCCTTTTCAACAGTTCATCATCAGCCCCTCTCTCCAACTTCCACTAAGCTTCTGCTGGAGCTTATCGCTGCATCCTCCCATCTTCCTCATCTGGAGCGTGGAGGTGTGCGCGCGTGCCAGCTGGACGTCTTGAGAGGTAACCGCGTGCGTATGTGTGTGTGTGTGTGTGTGTGTGCGTGTGCGTTCGTGCCGCGCGCAACAACAAACCCACAGTCGCTCTTGAATGGTGCCAAAAGCAAAGCAGTAACATGCAAAACACTCATTAATACGGAGCTTATCTCGCTGTCACGTTTAATTATCAGTTAGCTGCTATGTGTGTGTGTCTGTGTGTGTTTCTGGGAGAATTCGGGCTTGCTTTAAAGTAAGCTGAAAGTTGTCATTGACAGGATGTCCACATGCGTCCCTGGTAACATTAGGACTATACAAAGCAAGCTATCTTTGTGCCGCACGGTCCTGAATCAGCAATGCGATGTCCCAAAAGGCCTGCTTGGTTCTGTTTAAAAAATAATAATAATAATAATCCTAAATAAATAAATGAATAAATTGGCGTTGGGCTTAAAGGTTGAGGGCAGGGGTCACCGTGCTGTTTTTAAACCAAGATCTGAAGGCCTACCAGTTCTATACCCACTTCTGAAACAACTTTGCTGACATGACCTTTAATTAGATGTGATTAGGAATAAATAATAGCATTCCGACGTGACGCTGATCATGTGAATGATTTCTCACAATGTTTCGCAGTCATGATTCCAAGAGGTGGGAAATGGATAAATATCAATACGCGACACTTCATTCCTAGTAATCCCCCGCACGTTTTCAAGCAACATTCAAATAATATCCCATCACTAAGTGAGCTATTTTTAGAACACCCCTGCATCCACCCATGTGATCCTTGGGGGAGACCCGCTTGCCTGTGGGCAACTTTTGGCTCGTTTCATCCCTTTGCGCGTATGCCGAACCAAGAAAGAACACGAGCGCTTGTGATAGCTCACCAGTTGTGTTTGCGACGCTTTATTCTAGAAAACAACCGTTGGGGTAGGGCTTTTGTTTTTGGAATTAGGCAGGGTGAAAGGTGAGATTTAGGGGTTGAGGGTCTCTGAGTCCCAGCGCCACTGACCTGAAGGGCGCTGTTCAGGAAGCAGCTGTTCTGTCCCGGCTCGTTGCTCAGGCCTTTGCTGGGCGCGATGGAGGTCATGGTTCTCGGGGTCGCCAGCCCCTGCGCCCCACTGACCGCTCCGCCGCCGGACGCAAAGTAGTTCCTCTTCCACGACATCCCTACCTGGACGTCCGCGGTCCCACCGAGGCGTCTATGTCACTCCCATGAGAGTGACAGAAGGCGAATGGGAGAAAAGAGGAGGGAGGCGGTAGACGGAGGCGACGCCGTGTGTCTTGGACGGGGATTTGGCCCCCATACAAGCCGGCCCCTCTCCAGCCGTGCTTTACTTCTTCAGAATCCGCCTGCTCGCTGCCAGAGCCGCTGCTGGCATCTGTTTGTCACTCGTCCTCTGGCAAGTGGTCCTCTGGCGGATCCTGTCAGATGGATGTTGTTTGGGCCGTCCAGACGCTCCCATGTCCTTTCATGCCCTGCGAGACACAAAGAAGGGCCGGCCGTCGGGCCGCACGGGTCAAACGCCGTCTACGTTGAGCAGGCGAACAACAACGGGCTCTCCCGAATTCCCACAGGCAGCTCACTCGATACGCAGAAAGGGTTAGCCTGTTAATATTCAGCCAAATCTGCGCTCTCGCAGGCCAGGTGCAACCTTTTCAAGATACACGCAGTCAAAGTCACCGATGCTACACCAGCATCTCACACGCCCATGTTGCTGCGTTGAATAATGCAAAGTCAATTTTTCGGCGATTTCTCAAATAATAGTAGGAAGTCGGCCATTTTGGATGAATTCCAGAGTGGAATCAGGTATCCTTGATAGATGGTTATGAAAGGTCAATGGGTCATCTAGCCACCCAACGAACTGCATCCAACAAATCGGACTCTGTTCTGCAAAGTTCCAACTTTAATAGCAACTAAAACATTGTATCCATTGTGCGGCGTTGACAGACTTTTTGTTTATTACAACAGTAACATCATGATTCTTGTCGTGGTTGTGTTGTTCTACCGTGGCGAGGTTTGAAGTGGACTGATCTGTTTAATGGGCACTTTTGGCAGCCGGTGGAGTTTTCATTTGTCATCTAGCGCTTCACAGTTGACAGTCGGAAGAGAGTAGAGCTTTCTTGGTAGGTTTGGGGGATCCAATGAGGTCCAATTTTATATCAGTAATGGCACACCGAAACCGAAATCTATTCATAATCACGATTTAATGAAAAATAGGGAGATTCTGCCAGTGGCTGTGCTTCTCCAGTAAGTATACGTGTTTGCAGAACACCGTTAGGCAGCGAGCTAGCAGAGCCGCAGTGCCTTTTGCTACTTTTGGCAAAGTTCCCTTCCGTCGTCTTTGTTGCCAGGTTGCATTTTGGCCACAGCACGCTACTTTTATCGATATCCATCCACCTAGCTAGCGAGCGATCTGGGTTCGTGTTAAGTCTGTCTATGTGTCTGTTCGTCCGTCCCTCCGTCTATCCATCCATCCATCCAGAAAAGAAATTCACATTCAGTACATCTGTGTGTAAATACACCAAATCCAAATTGCCAAAAGGATTTATAAAAAGGATTTGGCAGCCATGGCTCTTTTTGCCATTTTCCCTCTCCCAAACAGAATCGCTAACTTCTGTTTCAGCACACAGCGACTGCCTGTGTGTGTGTGCGCATGTGTGCATGTCCCTCTTGACGCCGAGTAGGTGTGGAGAGTGCGATCACACATCCTCTTTTTGACTGCACCCTACAGTCTCGCGCAATCAAGATCACACAAGCGCTGTTATATATGGCCCTTCTCTGCGCGCGTGTGCGTGCGAGCAAGTGTGCACGTTGTGCGGGTGAACACGCGCGTGCCACTGAGTGGGTGCGGAAAGTGCAATCGCACTTTTCTGACTGCACCTTACAAGTGCCGTTATATATGATGGCCCGCGTGCGCGCGGTGACCATGTCGTCCCTGTATCTTCGGCTCGTTACCATGGAAATAGGCCAAGCAGCAGGCACGCGGGAGGAAAAGCCGAACCATGTGATGTTAACACAGACACACACACACACACACGCACACAGCCACACAGACACATGGGGCCGGCGAGTGATGATGATGTGTATTGATGGTGGAGAGTTCCTGGAAGCCACAGCAAGTCAAGGCACTCGTCAATCATATTCCCTGACCCTGCTCTGGTGGCCATTAAGAAAACAGAGGAGAGGCGGTAAATTTACCCCGTGAGGCGTTCAGGATCACGGACCATGGACTGAACGCCAGTCATCTCTTCCTGATTAAAAAAAATGAATAATTTCTAGTATTTTTGTATTTCAACAAATTCACTTCAACTCAAAAAATGTTAACGCTCTCAACAATTTGACTGTAAACTGGCTGATTAAACGGCATGCTGGCTCACGGTGACGTTCGCACCCGTGAAGAGCAGGCAGCGCGGCCGGCTTGAGTCACGCAGTCGTGACGCCGCCTTGGGAGGTCGGAATAATCCCGGACGCTTTGTCAGGGCGACAGCCGATGATTACTCGCGGATCGATGGGAGCCGGCGAGGGCACGGCTGGGAGCGCCGAGGAAAGACATCTGTTTCAGCTAAACTGTCACAAGTGCCGCTAGCACGAATGCCACGACTCGGATGAGTCAATTAAACGGCTGATCAACATGTTTGTCATAGCAAATCATCCAATTGTATGGAAATTGGCTCGAATCCAAACTGTGAGTATGTTCGGCGAGCCACGTTAGCCGAGGAGTAGCCGATAGCGATGGAAAATTCCAGGGGTCACGTTGACCCACTAAACTCTTTTTTTGAAAACACAACAGGAATGTTTTGGTCTGCGTTTATCAATAACATCCGACTTGTGCCATTGTTTGTGTCAGCGTGTCAGTGTACCAGTGTCGCCGAGGACAATAGCTCTCTGACACACACACACACACACACACACACACACACACACACACACACACACACACACACACATCAACCTGAATAGACTCTTTGAGTTTTTCTTCTTGTTGTTTCGTTCACTTTTCCCTCCAGTAACCTCTCCTCTCCCCATTCATCTTTCTTTTCCAAAAAGAAAACTTCACATCCACGACCTCACGCTCACACACAGTGGGTTTCCTCTTAAGTGGGTTATGTGTAACTTCAAATAGCCCCGTTTCACAACAGGGAGAGCCTCAAGATCAGCCTCCCCTCGCTGCACTTCCTCCTGCTTCATGTTTGATATGAAGTTAGACATCCGCGCGCAGCATCTAGGTGCGTGAATGTGCAGCGGGGAGTCTGGGATTTTCTTCAAGGTCACTTCCCCGCATAGCCCGTATGACCGCACGGCACAAGCTACATGCGGCATCGCAGCACACAATCGAAAACGGTGGAGCAATGTGTTTGATATGGAGGCTGTTACATAACCACGCTTATTTACAGTCCGTGCTGGAAAGTCACGTGACAATTTTGGGGTCGGAAGAAAAACAAGATGAGGTGATGATGACGTTAGATTTAACATGTCAAAGAAGAGTCGTGATTGGGGGTGGGAGGGGTGGGGTGAGGGGTGGGGTTGGGGGGGGGGGGGGGGGGGGGGTGAGAGAGAGAGGGCACTGGCGGGATGGTTAAGGTCAAAGGAGACATCGGAGCGTGCATTCCTCATCCTTCCCTCCTGCCTCATCCTCTGCTATTGTTTAATCTGCTCTTTCTTAAACCAAAACCTCTCAATAATCCTGTCCATGCGGATTGGGGAGGGGGGCGGGGGGGTTGACCATTGAGGCGGGAATGCTGCAGCTCGAAATGTCAACAAGGCGGGGGATGGGGGGGGGGGAATATACAGGAGTCTCTCTATGTGACTGACTGTACACACGAAAAATCTAAGCAATATCTATTTTTTGCAAATAGAGATGATTAACCCTTTACCAGTTGGATTTTGCCACTCTTTTTAACATTTTCAAAATATCAAAAGTAATTTCCTTGGAATTACAGCAGGGCGGCAGTGAAAACAGCAGGGGCCCCATGATAGAATCCTGTGGAACACCATACGACACAAGGGCAGAGCGGCACTCAGCCAAAGAATCCAAATGTGTCGCAAGATGAGTTCTAAAAGTGGACAGAGCATGCACCAGCGACCGACTCTTACAGGACCAAAGTTGAAAAATACGTTTTCAGCACAACAGTCATTCAGTCAATAGATTTGTCTTTCCCCTCTTAAAATGGAAATAATATAAAACTAAAGCTCCCTAAATTGTACAATGTATCCCCAGCAAAGTATACACCTATGCTAATTGTTTTGACATAAACTCCAATGACAGCTTGTAAAAAAAACAAAACAAAAAGATGTCGTGTTCGAGGGCATGCCGTCCTTCGCTAATGGTCTGTTAATTGTGTTTAATATTCGATGAGGTAAGTGGCATAAAACCACGAGACCACAGTGTGAATATTTCCTTCCCGCTGAAAACTGGAACCACCAAGCAGAAACAATAAAAGTCATGTAAAAGTCCGTTAAAATGATCGTTTCCAAGACCCCCCCCAAAGGGCATCTGACAGTAAGGTTGTTTGAGTAGGCCCAGCCGGCCCGCACTACATCAAAACAAAGTTCCCGGTGACCACAGAGAAGTCATTTAATAGGCTGATTACATCTCGGCAGGCTATAAAAACATACAGTAAATTCACAAAGCCATTATGTTCGCGTTAAAAGAAGGCGCTCATAAAACAGCTCAGGTGCCTTTTAAAATGTTTTTTGTCGTCCTTCATCCGCCTCGCACGCGCTGTTGAAATTCTCCTTTAGAAAGCAGTTGCGAGTGCAAGAGCGGCACCAAACGCGGACTCAGACTGTCAGCAGTCACAGTTAGTCAAATCAAGTGAAGCTCTCCCAAAGCTGCAATATTTTTAGGATTAAACTTCCTCCCCGCCTCCCCCTGGACACTTTCCCCCGGATGAGCCACAGTCGCAACAAACACTGGAACATTTGTGGGGTGGGGGGGAATAAAAGCCACTGGAAGACATCCAGTTTATATCATCCCAGACTTGTAAAGCTCCACGTTGGCTTTGGAAAAACACATTTCAATACACAAGGACGCACGGCTAACGATTAATTTACTCAAGTACCTTACATAAGTTTCATGTTTTGCTGAATGAACATAAATACGTTTTTAACTTGAGTACATCTGAAATGTGAGAGGAATCATTCCACACAGGCGTTAAACATAACATTCATAAAACAAGCCAGCCAGTTCAAACAACAAAATACATACAAGGCAAATTGGCAACCGGTTTTCTCAGGAGTCATCAAACTTCGAAATGACAAAAGTCAATATTTTTAAACATTCAAACAGATAAAATCTCTAGGACATTTTAAAGCGGGGAAAAAGCAAAATAACCTCAAAATGGCTGTTTTCCAACATGAAAGACTTCCCTGTGTTTTGAATTCTTGAGACTTTTTGGTGTAACTACTTACAATATGCAATAAGATTAGTTGTTTTTTTGCAGATGGAAAAAAATATATATTCTTGTGAGTGTTGCCATATTGACTGTTTACCTGTGTTGCTGCACCATTTGTATTCAACTATGCATTACTTAACTACCGCAGCATGCACGCTAATTTCACTAGACCGACGTTGGCGTTTTGCATTGTGTGTAAGCATAAAGCTAGCAGAATTTTGTCAGTTGTGTACTTGGTTTTGAGACACGTGTAAAGTCATTCGCCTGTTCATCATGTGCCAAACTTCGGCTTGTCGTGAAGTTTGTCTCTCAATTTTTTGCTTGCAGCTCAAGACAAAAGAAACCGCCCGAGGCTTGAAAAACTTGAAAGTCAGGTCAGTCGCAAAATGACATATTTATAAAGTGTCAATCAAAACCGATCCCATCTTTGTGAGGGCGGAATTTTTGTGCGCGGTGTGACATCCTTATCCAGATTTTTTATTATATATATTTTTCTCTTGGCATCGCACACTTCACCTACTTTTCCACGAATGCGTGCGTGTGTGTCTGTGTGTACGCAGGTTCGCAAAGCGGACAGCGGCAGCATCGCAGGAGTGATGTCGTCCCAAGTCATCAATCTCGCAACCGCAATGTTAAATCAATGAAGCGGCCACCCGGCAGCGGCTGACGGTGGAGCGTGAATGGGGCCCCGGTAAGAGGCTGCGGTTTGTCGCCCATCCATCAACGAATCCAACACAGCTCCTCGGGACCTCACAGTCAGACCCGAGAGATGCAGGAACCTGACTGACTGCCTGCCTGACTTGCTGGACGCGGGGTGAAATTGAAAAGATGTTGGTGCAGAAATGAGCATGCGCCACGAACAAGTAGTGACCCTGCAACCCACACACACACACACACACACACACCCACACACTATATTATGATGATGGCCAACACTCAGGCTGCCCCCGCCCCCCAACGCACAACTGGTTTAAGATTTCACATCCCGACAAACGAAATGAAGACCCCCCCCTGTGTAGGACACCTGTGACTGACTGTCAGGATGAACTTGAAAAAGACACACACACATACGACGATGATGGGCAACACGCTGACGGCACCCCCCGACGCGCGCGCGCCTCTGCAGCAGCATCGGCCATGGAGCCAAGTACACACACGCGCGCGCCCGCGCACACAAACTGTTCTTACTCACCCCGGATGCAGTCGCCGCCTCTCTCCGTCCGCTCGTGTGTCCCACCGTGTGATTTAACGGCGGAGAGGAGGCTGAGCCGTGGGCGTATCCGCTCCGCTCGACTCGGCCCCACGCAGCCCCCACCGGCGCCATCCGTGCAGCGCTGCGGTCGCGCGGTATGCCGCTGCTCTCGCGATAACTCCTCCTAACTACCCTCCAGTTTGCGCTCATCGCCATACCGCCGCCTAGCGGGCCAGCCGCGGTGCTGAAATTTGTGAGGGGGAGGGTGACGTCATCGCCGCGGGTTACCTGCGTATCCTTCACCCCCCGGTAGCAGTAGTGTGTGTGCGTGCCTCTAGTCCTCTCACACACACACACACACACACACACACACACACACACGCACGCGCGCATACACTCACATTCATTGGAGCTGCTGACAGCGACATGCAGAGGACATCTGTCCAACATTTGACACCCGCCAGCCTCGCTTTGCAGCCACAGCCCCGAGTGTGAGAGGTCGCACGTACCATAATCCACCTCCGTTTGGATCGTGTTCCCATCGCCATTTGTAGGCCTGTCATTTAATAATGCCGGCGGGTGATTATCTACGGCAGTTTCCCCAAACCTTTATTTAGCCGAGGCACGTGTTTTACATGACAAAAATCTCACTCGACGCAACCAGATCAAAATGTCACCCCCAAAAAAATCTATACAGTGGGCAGAGGAGTCACACAGAGTCCCCCATTATGCTTGAGCCCCCCAAAAAGTCTTCCCATTTCTCCTCTGAGATTGACACTCCTGTACAGTATAAATTGTTGTCCCAAAAATCACCACAAATTTGTTGAAGACAAATAGCAGTGGACTGTATAGAACCATCACTGGCGTAACAAAAAACCTTACAGGTTGTATGGCACTTTGTGACCCTTGCAAGCATGCTGATTTATGACCGCTAAATACAGACTGAAAATAGATTTGTGACTTTGAAGGCAAGTAGTCCATAAAAGACTTCCATGCTTTTCTGGCCTTTACAGGGCCGTAACGAGAATTTCAGAGGCTCCCAGGGCATGCGTCCACCCCCTGCAAACTCAATGTTTAATGACCCCCCCACAACTGAGACTGGCATTATGTCAGTGACCGTAAAAGACAAATTGTCGTCAAAAGTCATTTTGTAGTTGAGTGTTGATGGTGTCGACAGCCATCCTTGATCTCAGCCGACTTGGTGTGACAGACTTGGTACACCCTGGACCCTGGATTAATGTTGTTTTTTTTTTTAATTACACTACATTGTAAGGACGAGAAGCAATAGCAACATCTCTAAAGGAGAACTTTATTGCTTAATTGCATTTTTTCAGAGTGCAGAGTGCTTGTTTTTTTTTTCACTCCTAGTTACACGTTAGCATGTTCGCACACACTATGCAAAATCAAAGCAAGGCTCTCTCAAATTGCAGGAAGCTACTTTGTCCTTTTTTTTTTCCCAACAAGTCACGTTTCATAGCCATGCATTAAAACCGCTATTCCGTTTGAATACGGACAAGCGAACGGACGCGTTCAGAGATCGTCGGTCTCTCCGTCAAAGGGGATGGCGTCCAGGTCCATGTGGATGTGCGTGTTGTCCTCGCTGCACACCCAGCCGATGGGCGTGCGGTTGAACGAGGGCCGCGAGCGGATGTCGGCCTGTAGGGAGGGCAGCGGCTCGAGCTCGTCTTGGTCGGCGCCGAGGTCGGGCAGCTCAAACACAGTCAGCTGAGAGACCTTTTCCGCCCCGCCGAAGGGCAGCGCCGTCCTTGGGGGAAACGGGAAAAAAAATGTCGTGAAAATTGTCCAGGGACGCTAGGATTAGGACAGGTGCAGGACAAGAAAAAAAATGAATCGATTAACAGGTCGGTCCCAATACTTTTGTCCACCTCATGTCCTTTAAATGTCATTGTACGCCTGCTGTGGTTCCTAATGTCACAGCCCCCTCTCCCCCGCACCGACCATTAAGAGCATTAGGCGAAGATCAAGGGATCACATTAGCTTTGAGATAATCACATCTGGGCCGAACATGTCGTCTCAGTGGGAAACCTCATTACAGGTGTGTTTGCGTATCCCAGAAAAGCCTCCCAAGTTTAAAAAAAATAATAAATAATAATAATAATCTGTTGTCCTAGCAACGCATACAAATCATTGCCAATGTAAATAATGATGAAGAAATGTTATTTCAGGGTGTACCTGTTGAAGCTCTTGTACTGAGGAAACTGGACTCTGCCGGGTCCAGGCATACTGGTTCTCATGGTGGCCGTCAGCTCCTGGTTGCCCTTCATGGCCCGTTCCCATGGCGACACGTAGGTGCGAACGTACTCCCTCCTCCTCCTCTCCTTCTCGGATTCCTTGTCCACCACCTCGTCCTCCTGCGCCGCTGAGGACGGGCAATAAGACAAAAGAATGTGTATTTTCTCCAACATAATCAAAAGTAACGCTGGTCACGAACTCTTTATTGGTCAGTCTACGTGCTAATCATGACACAGAGCACCTGTGATTGGTTGATGACATCACATTTGTTCGTGAGAAAAGCAGGTGGTGTAAATCTGAAGTCTCACCTTCTTCCTTTGGCATGTCAGGCTTTGGAGGGACAGGAGGGGGTGACATCAGAAGGTTCTGCAGGTTCTGCTGGAGTACAGAAGAGAAGATTCAAGTCCCCGCAACCACTCGACTTGTTTGCCACGCCATGGTTTTCGCCCACCATATTCTCGTTGGTCGTGATGAACTTGTCGACCCGCTGCTGCCTCTTGCGGAACATCTTGGAGCCTTTGTTGGTGAGTAGCGAGAGCTCCTCCAGCATCACGTCTTTGGGAGTCTTGATCTTGGTGCCCAGGTCCAGCTCGGAGGCTTCGGGGTCAGACTCGTCATCTGACGGTCAGCCGAGGGACAAAAACAAACTTTTGAGTTACTTCTTAATTCATTTGTAGCTTTTTGATTGACTTTACGGGACCCAACGTTAGATAGCCAGGCGTATTCAAAAATGTTGGACGATATGAAAAAAAAATTCCCTGCATGCTAACACTGATACAAGATACAAGTTAGCGTAGCCATGGTGATTTGGATTCAGTGTTGTTGTTTTTTTGGTTGATAAAAGGAACTGAGCTTGCGAAACCGCGGGGAACGCTAAAAATCAGTCGGTCAAGGTAATCAGACGAACGGGCCCGTAGGGGTTGGGGAGGGGATGTCACGGTTTGGTTTTCATGCTCGGACAGTGGGAAATCCTCGACCACGCCGCCACACTCTCTTTCTGAGACGGATGTGATGGATTTTTCCGCTTCCTATAAAACGGGGAGTTGGCATTGCAATGCTGCGGAGAGCCGTTCGCCGGGGGGCTCGTAAATCAGACCTGTGCAAGTGGATGTGTGAGTGTGTGTAAGTGTGTGTGTGTGAGGGAGAGAGAGAGAAAATAATTGAGGCTGCTGAGCAAAGTGAACTCTCCTGTGGGGATATTGATTTGAGCGTTAATTCCGAAGAACGTGAAACCGGAGCTTGACTGCTGACTGGGAGGAAAACGGACAGACGGGTGGGTGGAGGATGGCGAAGGGGAAGGGGGGGGGGGGTATTCGTATAAGGGGTTTTGAGTCTGACGGACATGATCGAGGCATGGGGGGGGTGGGATAAAAGGCCCAACAGCGACAAGAGATGATGGATGGATGAGTGGGCATTAACTGGAGCAAAATACGGGGATAAAGCGGGATAAGCTGCCGCGCGAGCAAAAACACACAAATGTTGTGCGTTGGCGCAGATGTGATGACAATAAGAAGACGCAAAGTGACAGCAGGTCGCAACCTCTATTGAGCCAAAGTACGGATTTTATCGATGCCGCAGAACGCCGCGAAACAAAAATGACACCCAAAAAAAATATCCTATTCACTTTTGTGTGTGTCTTACCATTCTGGCTGATGTTGGTAAAATCTGTGATGATCTTGTTGGCCTTCTTCCTCTTGTTGGATGAGGCACCACTTGCCACCGACATGGCTAACTACAAAAAAAAAAAACAACAAAAAAAGGCACGTGTTGAAGTGAAAGTCTTTAAGCATGTTGTTTTGCTTCCCTGTACTCATCCATCCTCTTCTAAGAGCTAAACACATTTGGAGACGAGCATTTAAAGCAATTAGAGAAACACACCAGGAAGTAAATAGTGGCCTTGACTCCTTTTGGAAGGCAATTTGTCGCCAGTAACAAGTAGCCAACACTTCTTAAAAGGACTTTGAAGTTTTGCTTCAACCAGCTGGATAGGCTCAGACACTTAATCGGGTACAAATATAATAAATTGATCAATTTCCTTTTTTTTATTTTTTTTTATTTTTTTATTTTTTTTTATAAATGTACCAAATTATTCACATAATTGTTCTTATCTAAAATAATAATTTTATTTGAAATGGTTTTTTCCTTTTTTTTTTTGAATCAAAATGAATCTTAATGATGATATGAATGGTGTGCTGGAGGGTTTAAGTGAGGGGGGGGTTGGGGGTGAGGGCACATGACCATGACGGATTTAGCAACATGGCACTGTTTGACTGGCAGTGAAATGTGATCCAATTAAGGGCGGTATGCAGCCACGGCGTAATAAATAAAAGAGCACATTGGTGACGATAAAGTCGCACGACAGCCACCGGCTTCTTGCCAGCTCCGCCATGAGAACGTAAAGGACGCCGAGTGCGACAGCGACGCGCGAAGCATGCAAGGCCTTTGCCTTCAGGACGCTAATTCCCTAGCCGAGGCCTCTGATGTAGGCTGGCAGTGCGTCGCCGGTCGAAAGCAATTACGTAAGGCCGGGGGGCGGGGGGGTGAGTCCCTGTTCATGGTGGAAGGGGCTCGTCCGCAGGGAGGGCGCTTCATGTAATTGCGTTTTATCTCTGTAATTGAAGCCATTTCCCAAGCCTGGGATTCAGCTATCCTACATGTTCACATGACTGAAGATGAATACGCCATATTGTCCGCTTTTGATTTTTTTTACAGGTGCTTTACTGCAATATTCTGGTTGCTGCGAGGTGCGAAGAGGTCCTGTTACCACATCAGCCCCTCGATCACACTTAACACCCGCCCACCCACTATAACCCGACTGTTTTAGTTCTTGGAAGGGGACAGCTGAGGAGGAAGTGGGTGGCATCACGTCAGCACATTCCCATATCAACAGCATCCTCCAGAATGCCAACTAAAAACTCCTCCAAGGTGAGTTAACGTTCTGTCCAGGACGCCTCCATTCTCAAACTCCAAACATGGTGGCATAGATGCATCGAGAAACTTTGCTTCAATCTTTGCTTGAGTGGTAACTAAACTCGTGTCATTAGGAGAGCTCGGACTCACTCCCAAAAATCAGCGTTTGCTCATCGTTTATCATCTAAGCAGTGAGTAGCGAACCAACTCGAATGGGTTCTGATGGGGGGGGGGGGGTTGTCTCCTACAAGGCCTTGCCAAAATTTGCTGACAACACAAATCAAATGCATCTGACTGTAAAAAATAAAAAAATAAAAAAAGTCCTTGAACTTCAACCGGCTCTTGAATTATTCAACAGCTCCGATTGCATCGGTGCCAGATCATCCACCATGCAGCAGCGCTCAAGTCCTCTGTAATCCACACAAAAACACGTCTTACCGAAGACTTGAAGTTGTAAAACACAGGAGGTCTATCAGCTCCCGCAAGGTTCCCGCAGGAGAGAATTTCCCCCACCAGACTGAAGTCCTGGAGTCTTGTGTTGTGCCAGCGACTCTCTCTCGTCTTCGCCACCGGGGCGGAGTGAAACCTTATCAGGAGGTTCACTCCTGAGCTGTGAACATGTGTCCTCCTGTGGAGGGTGTGAAAGAGGGGTGGGGTGGCCCATGGTGGTGGGTGTGTTGTTCCAAGTTCAGAAGCCGTTTACAAATGATGTCCAAGGACCAACATCCAATCGTCACATGCCAATCATGAGATGTGAATTGATCAAAAGGATAAATGAGAGTATCTTGTGAAAAGAGCTGCGTTGTCTCCTCGAAAAGACCTTCTGTTATTTCCAGAAGGTTCTTCCGGAATGGGGCTTTCCAAAAGTTACACAGCTCAAGACCCAAATGACAAACTGAAACACGGACACTGAAACCTCCTGAATGTTTATTTTCATCTTTGAGGCCATAAATGAATCAATGACACGAAACTGAAAACGGTTGCGTGAGGACAGGGGCTTTTTGATAGTCATGCGAAGGGGCAGGATGACACCCTCCGGCCCCCCCCCCAACCCCTCTGCTCTCAATCACGCCGTGAAAAAAAAAAAAAAAAACATCGGAATTAAGAGTTTAACACCGTGCCAAATAGCCGCAGATTAACGGCTCCAAAAATAGGTGAAACCGGCGATTGTGTGCAAGGCAGCGAGCCGTGAATTAAAAGGGAAGAAGAGCGTAGCGCTTAAAAAGTCGTTTGAGGGAGAAGTGACAAATTATGGTCAAAATCGGAAAAAACATGAACACTTATGGTCAAAATCTGAGTGTGTGTTGCTGAATCAGAGCAACTCGCTGCGCGCATCCCCATTCACAGCCTCCATTCACAACTTTCTCTCTTTAATTTTCATGAATCCCGTTATGAGGGACGTATGGTTCCAGATGAGAATATTTTCTCTCCTCTGAGCTCGGGCCCTAATAAACAGCGGGTGCGAGGTTCTGTACCAAAGGCCACAAGCGGCTTGTGTCTGGGCAGAACTAGTGAGCTTCAAGTGTCTCAACAGTCTCACACTGCCCCCATGTGGTAGAGATGGAAATAATTCACAATATTAAATTATATTTGATTCCACCATGATACTTCCTTTGTGTGTTGCAGGTTCTTCAGCCGCCGGACCTGTTTAGACCAGACGAGACTTGCGTCTCAACTTTCCCCCGGACTTGCCCTGATCAACAAAGCGTCTTGAAACAATGAAGAAAGCTGGATTCACGATGGCATTATGAAGGTAGTGGGAGTAAATACCGGTGGGGTTGAGGGGTTATTTATTAGGTTTGAGCGCCGTCACGTAGTTCAGGGAAGACTCAAGTTCGCCCCCTCTGAAAGCCTTCACCACAATATTTCATAATATTAGAAAGAAAAAAAAACACAAAAAAACAACACAATATATTGTTAGATAATTACAAGCAAGCTTGGACTTGGCACTTTTACTTTGAACGCTCCGACAACACGAAGTTCATTGGATCTTCTCGTATTTCGTTCACCTTCCAATCGACAACTAAAATCTGTCTCTTTCCACATCCTCCGCACTTAATTCAACATCATTCTGCTGCCTTTCGAAGTAGCTAATCCTTTAATCTCTCTCTGGTACATTTGTTCCACCACCGTGTTGCCTTTCAATTTTCGCAAACTGTGTCAAAATGGCCAAATCAAAGCGTCTCCCCCAACCGCCCCCGCCCCCCTTACAAAAAGAAAGTGGATCATTTTTGCTCGTGTTGCCCGTCCAAACTGCTCTTGAGATAAAACACGTGTCCGCGGACATGAAAAAGAATGTTACCAAACTCAAAACACGTGGACTTCCTTTTAAAATATAATGCTTTATGTTCAGTCCAGACTCAAATGTTCAAGCTCAGTGCGCCGTGGAGCCGGGGCGCCACACGCAAGGCTGTAGGCCCAGGTTGGAGGTGCTGAATCTGGGTCGAGGAACCCTGCTGTACTGGCTGCCGGTGGATGCCTGCCGGGGGCCACCAGGGGGTCCAAAAGGGCTCAGATCTGGGGCGCTTTTGAACTGCCTGTCAGCTTGTTGAGGCTGGGGATGGGAAAACGTGGGGGACTGGACTGCATTGGAAGGCGATGCGAAGGTGGGAAGCTGAGGGAGCGGAGCTTTGGGCGCAGGGGGCGGTGGAGGAGACAGCGGTCCCGGGGACCACTGAGATTGGTATAGGGTCGGAGGCGTTTGAGGGCGACGGGCGCTTTGGGGTGGCGGGGAGGCAGCGTCGGAATGCCACAGTGGCTCCCCGAGAGTCGTGGCTGATCGAGGTACGATCACCTTCAGGGCAGGACTGGTGGCCTTTGGAGGGGGTGTGGAAAAGCGTTTCACCTCGCACACTCGTGCCGTCTTCTGAGGACCACCTCGCTGCTGCTGACTGGCGGACGAGTCCCGGGGCCCCCCGTAGGTGAACAGAGACGAGTTGAGCTGGTAGGGCTGGTGGTTCATGACATCCACCTGCTTTTTGGCACCTTTCTTCCCTTTGGATCCAGCCGGTGCTGACTTTGTCACCTCCGCCTTCTTTTGTGCTTTGGGGGGGCACGAGGGGGACAGGAGAGGATTGTAATTGATGGGAGGAGGGGCACGGATGTTGGAAGAGTACTTCCAGGTGGCCGGGAGGGACGGCGTTGGTGAAGGCTCCCTCGTTTGGGAAGGAGAGAACGGTGCCGGTGCAACAGAGGGACTGCGCTCAACAACATAGCGATCCATCCGGTTCTGTCGGCGGGCGAACAACTGACCCCCTTTCCCCCCCAACTGAGGTGCCTGAGGGGTGTGCGGTTTTGGGGCCACGGGCGGCGGCCTGCTTCCCCGCTGAGCCTGCATGAAGTTGCACGCCTCTGCCCCCAGCCGCATCCAGTCCTCCTCAGGGCCGGACTCGTGGCCGGCCTCGCCGCCCGTTGCAACGCCTGACTCCGCCCCCGCTGTTTTCACAAAGCGGTCGTCCATGTTTTGCACCATGGACATCAAGGCGGGGTTGGGAGACACATCTTTGCTCCGGATGGCGCTGAACATCGGCTTTTTGTTGCTGCGACCGCGGGCGTCATGCAGGATGCCGGTGCGGGCGGCTGGCACAGAGATGCGCTGCTCGCGAGTAGCCAGTGAATCTGAGGCTGAGGTTTGAGGGGAAGATGCAGGAGTCATGGCAGTGGGGGTGCACGGATGGGCAGCAGGGGAAAGCTGAGTGGGAGGAACCGTGGAGACTTGGACCTGGGAGGTGGGAGACACTCCCGGGGAAGGAGGCGGTTGGTGAAATGGTTGTGGAGGGGAGAAGGGTTGAGCAGGCTGGGCTGCGGAACCTTGAGGAGCGACGAGGCCGGAGGGGCACAAAGACGAAGGGGGCGAAAGAGCCGAGGGAGCAACGCCATTGTTGCGAGGCGGGATGTAGAGTGAGGTGCTGGAAACCGCTCTCCTCCCGTCCACTGCCGGATATTGAGTAGGCGTGATGGTCACCATGGAGACGGCCGCTGCCGGTTTGGGCTGGGGAGGGCGGAACATCACGGAGGTCACCGAGGGGCGGGGCGTCGCGGCGCCGGGAGTGAAGGGCCGAGCCGAGCGATTGAGAGCAGCGGAACTCGCTAAATGTTGGTCAAGGTTTGGACTCGGGCTGGGATTGACATGTGAGTTTTGATGAAGAGGGGGCGTCAAAGGGGGTGGGCTTAATTTAACACTGGCCCGGCTTATGGCGACGGGACCCCCATTGACAAGAGGCACATCCGGAGCTGAAGGCACAGCAGCGTCTGGTTGCTTCACGGCCTCCAGCCCGAACACCTCCAAGCTTGGAATTTGATTGACAGGCGCCTCGAAGCTCAAATGATCAGGCCCCGGGCCGTGATTGCCAGCTGTTGGTGTGGCAGGCGGGCAGGCGGCGCTCCTCCTGTCCAGCAGGTCTAAGTAACCGCTGTCCCACGTGGGGTCAAACGAGGCTGAGAAACCCTCCTCGTCCACTTCGGAGCTCTGGATGGAGCCCCCGCCTTCCTCCTCTGTCTCCCCCTCCGTGCTTTCCCCACCGTCCTCAGCCTTGCCGAAGCAGGTCAGCGTGTACTTCTTGGCTCTCTGCCGCCGTTTCTTGAACATAAGCACCCCCTTGGAGTTTGGGTTGGGAGCATCGGTCAGCAGCGAAGCGATGGAGCGGCATTTGGTGCGAGCTTCTTTCACCTGCTTCTCCACTAAACTCTCCCCGCGCTGCAGCTCTGTTAGAACGAAGGAAAATGGAGGTCAGTGCAGGGAAAAAGCAGTTATGAAAGTAACAAGTACTTTGGTAGCAAATGTGCACGTGTGAACGCTCGACTGGATCTGCTTCGGCGCAGCGTCGGACCAAACGTTGCCGTGTGAACGGGGCTTTACTCAATGTCAGATTTTTTTTTTTTTAATTGTCTTAAGTATTGATGGCTGGTATCGGCAGACTCCACGAGAGCCCGACACCTTAAAATAAGGTCGTATCAGACTAATAGTCTGATTTCTGTTCTATCTGGTGTCAGTACAGACCCATCCCTAATCTGTAGTTGTACTTGGCAAAAAGTGGTCCAACCCCAACCTGGTTGACTAATTCCGTACGGTGACAGTGAAGATTAGCAGTGACAGACAGCCGTAAGTGTTACGGATTTACAAAAAAGAATTCCTGCTGCTCTCCCAACGATGAGCCACACAGTCCACGATGGTTAGATCACAGAATCCGTTCTGTACACAGATGCTGTGTACAGTATGTCCCCCTGTTGAGTCTGACCCTATTTAAAACTATGATAACCTTTGCTCGTCTCACATGGATTACAAACAAAAATAATACAATCAATAAGTACAACACCAAAAAAAAAATCCCCAAACCCTATTATTGCTGACCAATGAAAAAACGTTTTTAAATAGTTAAAAAAAACTGTAAATAAAAGGGAAAAAAAAATGTTTTTATACAAAATCACTAACGTTGTTTCAAAATGTAATTGTTAAATGTTTTTTTAATCACAACTGGAGCTACGTTCATGGATTTCATTGAAAAACGACAGAAGAAATTATATACAAATAAATATTCAGCGAGGGAGACTGATTCTTTTAATTTAACAAATATCCTCTACATATACGTATTTGTACATATTTTTAATCACAAAATTTGGAGCTACGTGCTTTTAATTGAACAGCAAAAAAAAAAAACTTATTCAATATGACAGTTTAGTTCTATTTTGAGCACTGTGTTAGATGTATCCTGAAAGCGCTAAATATAAACATTAAATCCAAGGAGCGGTAACTTCAAAATCAATTTTAAAATAATCGAACATTGATCTTAATATTTGATTAATCGCCAGTGTCAAGACAGATGCCGCATTCACCATAAGAAGAACAGAATCTTAAAGTTTTGATTGTATCAACAGAAAGAGAGAGAACAATTTTTTTTTTGCATTTCCTCCAGTTAGGCATTTTTGGCTTACCTTTGTGTCGGCTTGTGTGTCCACCTGCTGAATGAGACGTCGGGTCCTTCATCTTTCAAGACCAATTTTTTTTTTTTTTTTGCGCGCGTTTATGTTTATCCTCCCTCAGGCAATCCTACAATGCTAATATACCCACACATACACACACGCACTCACGCACTGTGCCACTTGGAGGCACTTAGTAGCTGCTCTCTCTCTCTCTCTCTCTCTCTCTCTCAGTGTTAAAGACCTTTTGTTGTCTCTGTCCCGCCACCAAAGTGACGCATGATGTCAAGCCACTATTCCCGTCTGCCTGACCCGCGTCAAACACCTGTCATACACACACACGCGCGTGCACATAGAAGCAGGAGACCCTCACCAGGAAATATTTAGGCAGCGATGTCATCTTTTTGGCCATGTGTGCGCATTGGAATATAAAACAGTACGCTAGGGAGATGTGAGCCAGCGCTAGACGTTTTGCATGACGAACTAAAATATGTGAGCCGTACAATCTTTTTTGCATTTCAAAAGCCCCCTTTTTTTTTTTTACCTAGTCCAACTCGACTTTAGAAACCAGCGTAACATGAAGGTTAACATGATATGCATCCAGTTATAGATCATGGAGGATATGCTTCCTCATAACTTTGCTGACTCCCACCACATATGCACGGCGCCACTCGACACTATGGCCATCTGAATGTGTAACATGAGACATGGCGTGTCCCCCGAACGCTTCGTACGATATTTTACCCTTACCTACAATACGTCATGTACAGTCAACATTTTATTCCACATGAAGTCACAGCTATCAACTATCACAACAATATTGCCTAGAGGTGAGGTTGACACCTATTGGACACGTCAGCATCCCAAATGTCATCAAAATCATGCATACTGACGATTTGTAGCGTACGGTGCATTCATGTGCCCTGTCGGCGTGACTCTATAAATATATTTAGTGATGTGACGAAGGCCGACCATACGACAAAATCACCCAGGCCCGGAATAGAGCTTGACGTCACACTGAAACTACAAGGAATGGCCACTAGAGGGCAATGAGGTAACATCACATGTGGTCCACAAAACTTTAGGCCTAAACCCTCTCTCGCTCTCTTTTGCTGCATTTATTCAAAAACACAATTTAATTCTTACATATGTATATTGAAATCCTTACCACAAACCCTAACACGGGCTACAAACCCAAATTTTACACCTAAAACCCTGGCATGCAACCCTATATTCAACCCATATTTTGAATTGATGGTAATAATCTCTGTTTAATCAATGTAAAATTGTAACCGGTGACGCAAACTTAAAACAGATTTGGCATTTATACTCACTGGCTTGCCGTGCTTTCTCCACATAGGTGGCGGTGAGCTCCTCGCTCACGGGGCCCTGCTGCGGTCCCACCATGGGCACCAGCTGACTCCTGGACCCCAGCATTAGGGCCTCTTTGGCCCGCTCGGTAGATACCAACGGTGGGCAGGCAGTGAGCCCCACACAGGCCCCCGCATCCTGGAAGCCGCTGTCTCCTTCGCCCTCGGCCTCCGCCAAGGTCTGTTCCGGGGTTGGGGTGAGTGAATGCGGAGTGACGCTGCTGGTTGGGGTGGTCCACCCCAGTTGCGGGGGTTGATAGATGAAGTCCTTGTGCGGCACGCCGTGCCATTGGCCCTGCATTGGTCCTCCTGCTGCGTCATTAGCACTCTCATAGCTTCAAGAGAAACAAAGGAAAATCATGAATGGAAAAGAAACAAAAGAAAAGATTGGTTTATGAGCTTAAGCAAGTGGGGGAAAAAAAAACATGACTCGTGTGCATCTTTTTATGATAAATTGGCTTTTGGGCCATAAATGATTGTGCCCCATGAATTCGGCCTCGGCACAAGTGGCAAAACTGTCGTGATTTAATTTTTTTGTTTTAATGTAACTACTTTTTCTTAGAGTGCGGTTACGGACCATGTAGCTGCCTGACTTTGACTGTGATCCTGCTCTCCTCTTTTCCTTACCCACTCATCTCAGACGTCTCCTCCTCCTCCCGCCCGTGGTTGTCGTAGCGAGCAGGTGAGCGGGTGTGAGGAGGCGTGCGGCGCTGGCGGCGCTGCGCCTGCGAGCGCGTGTCAGCATCGCTGTCCGTCTCACCGTAGTAGGCCTCGCTCCCCGGCGGCGAGGTGACGCCGCCGGGTGCGACGGAGGAACTCACAGAGAGAAGCGGAGGTGAGCAGCGAGCAGGGTACAGCGGGGGCCGTTTGACCCTCAGGTGCAGCGTGGCATTCTGGGAATCGATGAGGACCATGGCTTGGGCGTGGCTGAGCTCGGCGCATGAGTGGTTGCCGATGGCAACCAGCTCGTCGTGCTCTTTCAGCCCTGCCCTGCATGCTTTGCTGCGACGCCGTACCTGCACATAGAAACACTGTTGAAATATGTCACTGTGCATCAAAATAACTCAGCACTCATCTTATCAATTAGGTGCGAAGATGAGCGTGTTCCCAGTATTTTGCCTTTATCAGCAACGGTGACATGTGCAAGGACAACTCCATTTGAAATGTTTCCAATTTTTTTACATGCACACACACACACACACACACACACACACACACACACACACACACACACACATTCCCTTGATCTATTGGCACACAGCACATGTGAGCAGAATGAAAAAGTGAGTTTGAACAGCTGCATCACCCGTCTGGACCAAAGGAGGGCATGCCTGTCATTATATGTCGCCTGCATACCCAGAATAAAGCCTTTGTGGGAGAAATCAAATCTGACATGAGAAAAGGTGTAACATACAAGAAAATGTATATGTGGTGTACGTGTGCATGACGTGTCTTTATCTTTGTGTGCATAAACAGGAGGCCGTTTTTCCATGACTGGCTTCCAACTCCTCTTAAAGGTGCTATTCTTATCCTGCAGCTCTGTCACCCACCATTCCCCGACCGGGCTTATCTGAGGTATGCGCCACCCCCACCCCCACACACACACATTTCAACAGCTGGATTCACACACATTGATCTTTAGCGTCAGAGGGCGGGAGCAAGGTCACAATCCAAATGTTCTTATGACAGGCAACACAAAAGTCCTTTTGGATGATTAAACGTCATTTCAGACTGGCATGACTGCATAAAATCTAATGTGCGTTCATTATCTAAGGTTGGACAGCTACTATATGCCTCAGTTTGAAATTTGTGTCCATATCCGATGTGTGTCTGACTGTTTTGACCCATAAACCCGTAAATGAATCGCACAGGGGCACAGCGGGCATGGCTCAAATAGGACAGTGAGTTGTTTTGAGGAGCACTTGATCATTTATTTTTCAGTCTCGTTGAAAGCAAATGGCTCGTAGGTCCTCGTCGCATTAATAGTGTGTCTATACCGGGCGCCGGATCGAGGACGGATACTATTTTGACTCACTGCATGTGGCTGAAATGGAAAATAGCCTTGGACTTTGAGAACATAACCAGAAGATACCAAAAATGCAAATAGCTTCTGAAGTTATTTTAAAAAGGTCATGTTAATGTATCTTTGCGACAACTTACTGTTTTACGCAATCGCCATATTGTGAAAAAGGACTCATTAAAACAACTAAGCTCAGAAGAAACTCTGAACAAATGTGAAGGTTTTGAATCAATGGTATGTTCATACGGTGGTACCTTGAGATCACCTGATTCAACATGAAACAGAAATAATTCCAAATTGTGCATTTAAAACGACTTAGGTTTGCCTTAGGAAAGTGCGCTTAACTTAATGTTAACAAACAAAGTAAAACGTGATAAGTAACCTGATGAATCGAATAAGTGTTGCATATAACAATTGTCACAGGCATAAATTCTTCATCCTCTGTGAAGAACGACTAATATGACTGCTCCTTCCTGAGGTGCTGTGACAGTCCCCAGGTTTAACCATATGTCAACAAAATAATGGTGGCCATCGCGCATACAATGTCTGTTGAACTTGAAGAAGAAAATGTGGCAAAAATTATTCAAGCATTTCGAATTTGATGACATGATTCCAATGCATGTTTTCACTGAAATTGACATTCTTGCTGACTGAAATACATAACATTAGCTTTATAGCATCATTCCTCAAGTCATTTTTGAGCAATCGTAGTGTTAGGCTAACAATATTACAAATTCGAGACTGACCATTACAAGTCAACGAATGACCACGATCTTAAGTAGTGCATCTAAAATGGATGGCGGTTCTATACCTTTGCCACCTGTAGAGGCTTCTGCTGCTCCCTTCCTCCCTGGAGCCTGAACCCCCACGGGGAGCCCCCGGAAAGGGTAACCACGATCTCCTCCGCCACCATCGATGCACCAGGTCGTCTTCAATGTATGTGTGTTTGGGAGAAGGTCTTCGCTTGCTTACACTTTGCCAGTGTCCAACGGCACCCAGCCCAAGTGAGGAAGGAGAGGCGGTGGGGCCTGGCTAGCTTGCATCTGCTTCTCAGTGGGAATGCTTGGTTGGAGGGCAGGCACTTAGGCAGTGTGTGTGTGTGTGTGTGTGTGTGTGTGTGTGTGTGTGTGTGTGTGTGTGTGTGAGTGT